CATGTTACAAGAGGCAACCAAAGATAAGTCTTAAAAGTTTAGTCAAAGCCATGCAAGATTTTTGTGGCCAAAACAAAACATTTTTTTGTTTTCTTGTTTTCCTTCCCAAAAGCTAGGTGTGTCTTATGGTCTGGAGCATCTTATGGAGTGAAAAATATGGTAATGTTCATATATTCAAGATATTTTTTCAAATGATTAAATGTTAATTCATAGAAATGCCACGGAAATATCAGATCAGGATTACATATTACTACACAGAAATAAGTCCCAGTGCGTCCAGTGGATCCCTGCCTTATGTAAGAATCATCTACATTTTTAATCTAAGAAGAATAGAAAGAGATGATGGCAAACCTTGGTGTCATTGCTACAGCTAGTCATTAAGTATATGTGCATTTTAAGAGGATTTGGCTACACTTAGAATATTCTAGTTGCAGTTCAGTGTGACCTAAGAAGAAAGCAATAGAGCCTGAAGAAGAAAAAACTATGGACCTTTCACTATCAGAATTCAGTGAAAGAAGATTCTATAGATAATTTCTGTCAAACTAGAGCCTTGGTAGTACAGTGGTCTAAGGCACCCTGTTATTAAGCTGGTTATTAAGACCAGTTGCCTGCAATTACTGCAGGTTCGAATCTCGCCAAGGCTCAAGGTTGACTCAGCCTTCCATCCTTTCTAAGATAGGTAAATTGAGGACCCAGTTGTGGGGCAATAAGCTGACTTTGTATAAATATACAAAAGGATGAAGGCTATTGCTTAGCGCATTGTAAGCCGCCCTGAGTCTCCGGAGAAGGGCGGCATATAAATCAAATTTAAAAAAAAAAACCTATGTTTTCTTACTTATCCTGCTAATTCGAAAGAATTTACAGCTTCAGATAATGTCCTATTGAAGGGGTTGATTTCAAAATGTAGTAAACAAAATAATAGCAGTTATACAAACTATTTTTAACACATCGATGTTCAACAGTGTCTTTTTACAGTACTTTCTTAATTACTAAAAAAATATACTATGGAACGTATAGAAATTATCCAATAAAACGTTTTAGGGATGCAAAATCATTGTGAGAAAACCCAGGATTAATGAGCATTAATTAGAGCAAAAGTAGATATTTTCAAAATGTTAGAGATAAATAAAACTTTGGAAATAATGTATTTCTGGGTTAGTTTTAGTTGTTCTGCTGCTTGGGAGTTTGTGAGGTGTCCCCTCTGGTGAAACATTGACATTTGTTACTTGGGGGTGGCAGTTGGTTTTTTGTTTGTTTGTTTGTTTGTTAAGGTCATGTGAAACTAAGATTTCTTTGTATTGTAATTTTTTTATATTATCCACTTTGGTTTTTGTACAGAAAGGAAAGTCCAGGCAAAATTATACAATGAAAGGTGATTTTTAAATACATGTATCTTCCATATAATAAAACAAATTATGGCACTTTAGACTAATATTTCTCAAAGTATATTATTAAATATATAATGTAATTTATTATAGCAGGCTCAGCAAGACGTATTTGCTTTACAAGCAGTGTTTTCTTTTATAATTTAAAAATATAGTCTTGCTTCTAAAATTGTAGAGAACTCATGGTCTTCCAATTCCTAACCTGGTCTGTTAAGCAGTGCACCATACCGGTTCTGTGTTCCTCATTCCCCGTAAAAAATAACCTAGGAATCCTGGATTATAGTTATGGCAGCAATAATTATGTTTGTTGCTTTGATTAAGCAGATTTAAGAATCCATTTTGTTTAAACATTGATGAATTGAAAGCAAGGTATTTGGTAGATATTAGGGCTTTTTGTAAAGATATTGATAATGTTTTTAAAAAATAGCAAATATCAAAGAATAATGAATAAAATTAATATCCAACACAAAATCCAGAGAAAAGTATACACAATTCAAAAGAAAATTTTAAAAAATAGTATCTCTGTAAAAACTGTGACTTTCTCAGTTGTAGCTGATATTTATGTAGTTTGAATATTTACATATTTTGGAGACCTGTTTGATCTAGTGCAGAGCCAGATGTTTTACTGCCCATGGGCCACATCTGGCCCTTTGGCTGTCCCTATCTGGCCAGCATGAGGTCATTCAGAAATTAGAAATTAGAAATCAAATATAAATTAGTGTGCTGCAGGAGACAAGAATAACAGAATAAAAGTTGGACCTTAGAGGTCTTCTAGTCCAACCCCCTGCTCAGGCAGAAAACCCTATAGTATTTCAGACAAATGGTTGTCCAATCTCTTCTTAAAAACTTCCAGTGTTGGAGCATTCACAACTTCTGGAGGCAAGTTGTTCCACTGATTCATTGTTCTAACTGTCAGGAAATTTTCCCATAGTTCTAGGTTAGAAGAAGCCAAGTTGGGTCTGGCTCTGTGCAGTCGCCATGCACTCCTTCAGTCAGCTGGCAGCCATGGGGGAGGGAGGGCAGGGCAAGGAGAGAAAGCACCTTTCTGCACTTGTGCAGTGTTCGCCCCTCACCTGAAGGAGCCTGGGGAGGCGGCAGCAGCAGGAACAGTCATCGTCTGAGGGGACTCAGGCTCAACCACCCACCACTTCAGTCAAAGCGCGGCCTTGCTGGTGAACAGGCAGAGTGTAGCCAGGAGCTATTGGTTCAGCCCTCCACAACAATCCCAGTTTAATCTAGTGGTTAAGGCACCAGGCTAAAAACCAGGAGACTCAGTTTTAGTCCTGTCTTAGGCCAGTCACTCTCTCAGACTCTGATGTCAGGCTCCGTCGACAAGCCAATTTCTGTCACAACTAATGGATCAACACTTGGTTGATCAGAAAAGAGGAGAAGGAAGAGAAGATGATTTACATATTCAGACAAAGCACCTAATTCAGTCTAATAGGGTACTATCCAGTAGTGGGTTTCAAATCCCGTTGCTACCAGTTCGTTTGTGCGTGCAGAGACGTCCAGGCGGGTGCTTTAGTCTCAGCCCACCTCTAATCTGGCTCTACAGAACTATTAACTGTATATCGAGCAGCTTAGATTTTTAGTTTATTGTATTCATGCTTAACCTCACACACAGAAATACACACAATGTCCCTCTATGTTTTTTTATACCTGTTACACTCCTATTCCTCCTTTTATGGGCTGTATTCTTTCCCTTTTCTTCCCTATACCCGTAATGGAATTTGATTGTATTAGAAGCCTGAAATATACATTTCATAGTTCCTGAATTAAAGCATTCTTGAAAAATATCCTGCATTTTTGCTAACTCTCAAATTATTACATATACAAATATATAGAAATGTTGTACACATACAGTAGTTAACAAGCAATATTCCATTCTGAATGCCTCTGCAATTCCTTGACCATATCTCTGAACACGTGTGGAAAGAGAAAAATGTTTGGTCAGTTTCTATTATGAAAAAAAAATTGCGCCCCACCCCCATGCATGCACGGAGCCCCCCCGCATGCCCCACACCCCCCATGCGCTTATATGCACAGGCCCCCACATGCACCCTGCGCATGTGGGGGCCCACATGTGCCCCGCTCCCCACACATGCGCAGCATAGATCCGACGACCAGCTGGCAAGCAGGAGGTGCGTGTGCATATGTAGCAGAACTGAACTGGGGCGACCGCTCACGTGCCCACAGAGAGGGCGCTGTGTGCCACCTTTGACACACATGCCATAGGTTCACCATCACAGCCCTATAGTCTTATTTCTATCAGTGGAAGATTTAGCATCTTCCTGTAATCTCTGCATTGCATTGCATTGCCATCATATTTTCAGACTTTGTACTATTCTCCCAGCAATAAATAAGACATAGTTCATATATAGAGAATACTGATTAATTTTTCATGTGTGGATTTTGTAGCAACACACTCTTTCTCTCTCCTCCCATGAGTGTAACCTTTCTGTGAACTGACCAAGCTGTTTCAAAATGCTGAAATTTTTCATCTTCACACAAATTAATGGAAGAAAGAAATGGTGCAGCAATAAATAGATTTTCCAATTTCAATTGACTGGTTAGCATTTCCATTCTTCTTCATAACAAACGCTGAATTTATTTTCATTAGTTTTCTAAAATATAAGCACACTGGAGGTTTAGAAAAAATAATATTCCAACAACTGTCAATTTAAATTTAAATTAAGCTATCATTAAAATTAAATCTTCTAGAATAAGCAGCAAAAAAATCAAGTAAATATATGAATAAATTACAATTGGTCCACAATTCCACCAAAGTGTAGAATCTGGCATTGGTCATTGGGAATCTAAATTCTGCTCTGAATCAGTTTCAACTCTAGAAATGTGCTACTGTAAGAGCACCAGCAGTGCTAGAAAAGACCCAATTAAGCTACAATTCTTCAATGCATTTCACAATTCTATAAAACTCTGTAGAAGAATACAATTTGCTTATATTTATTAAATGACACAGGTTGCAGTATGTCTCATTTAAAGCTTGTGATGTAGTGCAGAATTGTTACTGGCTGTAAAAAGTCCTAGGATTGTAAACAAGCAGAGGAGAAACTAAAGTATCATCAAGGAATAATTAATTGATATTACCCTTTTGCATTTCAGGAAAAGGTACTATTCCTCTCTTCATCAACATCAAAACTTTTCAAAATGAAAGGAACATTGGAGGATGATTAAGTCAAGTTTAGACATTATAAAAGCTCCCAACCAACACATGGGTTTAAGTCCCAAAGCTTTTTGCATCAACTTCCCCAAATTCTTTGGTTAGATTTGGAAGCTCATTTTGCACAATCCTCGTCTGTTTGAAATCAAGGATATTTTTTCTTTGCTTTTCTATTTAGTTATTTTACTGCAGTTTGCATTTTAGTCAGTTCTCACTGGTTTACATCCAGCAATAGACATTGAAACAAAATGGTAATAATCCAAATAACATAATCCTCTTATAGTGACCCATGAGGGGGGGACAACTAGGTTGATCCCCAAAGAGACACCTTTTTGAGATTCCTTTTTAAAATATTTTTATTGAAAATTTTGATTTTAATAGTAAAAGCAAATACAAACTAAACTCAGAAAAAGAGAGAAAGAAAGAATAAAAGGTCCAAGGAGGAAAAAAGAGAAATATTTAAAGAAGTGACTTCCAATCTTCTTCACAAGTATAAACAAACTGATTACGGTAAGTCTCTTAACCTCTCTAAAGTTAAGATAAATGCCTCTTTTTTCCATTACCCATTTCCTATCTATATGTAAATTCATACCTCATTTTCAGTCATGGCATCAGCAAAAAAAGGATTACCAGAGCTTTATAGAAGTATATCTTATTTTAACACTGGTCAAACAAACCAACCTTAAATTCCTTCTTTTTCTTTCTAATAATCTTCACCTTTAATTCATTCAGACATTGTGATAAGATTATTTTGATCTCCATTTTTTTCCTATCCCAAAGATTTCTTCAAGGCTTTAGCAAACCACTTTGTAAATCCAATAAAAAGTTCTTGCTTATCGCTAGAATAAAACTATTGCCCACGTTTCCTCTTATAAGAAATACCTCAATCTTTCTCTCAAAAATGCTGTGAATTATCATGCCTGTTAAGAGCAAATTAATTATTTGCCAACACAATGAGCCCAAAGCACAAGTGCCAAGAGTAGAAGCACAGGCAGGAAAGATGAGGTAGAAACATATGATCGTGTATGAAGTCCAAATATATATTCAGTAGTGAAACAGATACTATCTTCCACCTGCTCTCAGCTCAGTCATGCATTTCACCACCTACTGGTTCTCTGTCACTGTAAGGACGGAAGCATCATAAATAAGAATGACTAAGTGTTAGGAAGAGGGAGCCAACTTATTTCTTTCTCCCTTGTCCAATCTGCAACCTTGAATTCACTTTTTTCAATGGTGCGGCTACAAATGTGGAATGTAGTTGGAAACCAAGTTGTCAGTTTATGCTTTATTTTAAAAAACATATCCTAGCCTTGTGCAGAAAGCAGATTATATGACATTTTTCATAGCATATAGAGCTGCATTGTCATATACTATGGTTGAGATGATGTTGAAGATACAGGGAACTTGACATGGGGGCTGGAACACGATTCCAGAGATTGTGTAAACTATAAACAGAAAAATACAAGAAAAAGAAAAATGAGAGTATGAAAAAAAAAAGAAGGGAAAGAAAAAAAGAAGTAACTTTTTCCATTTTCCAGCAGGTTAAAAGAATTTCAATATCTTCTCTAAATAAAACATAATCTCTCGTCTCCCCATAGCTCTTCTCTTAGGTGATGAAAACAAAGTTCAAATGCTATGTCAATCAATCTTTCTCAGCAAAAGCCCAGTAAGAGCAACCACATACAATTATTTTAAACCTGGTCAAACAAGTTTATGTTACAAGGTTAATGTTTTAAACCTTCCCTGTGATTTTAAAATTATTCTTTATACTCAGCACCCTTTTGCTACATTATTTTTAAAAAATCATTTATTTCAAAAACATTTAAAATCAAATCTATGTCATTATCTTTTAAGGAGGTATAAATTCATCTGATGAATACAGGAAAACCTTGCCAGTCTAAAGACTCTCAATCTTACTAATACACAAAATTTAAAAATTTAAAATCCAACAAAGCGATTAAGATGTAGGGTCAATCAAGTTTAATGTCCATAAAGATTTTGTGAGAGTGGGCTTAATGTAACCCTGATTCTGTTACTTCACTCATAAGCTGACTAAAAAATGGTCTACTTAGGAGAAGCAACTGTCCAGAATCATGCGGGTCATCTCAACAAACTCTCCTTTGTTTCAGAGAAATTATACTGGCTTGGATCCTGCACCCATCCATGATAACCTTTGCAAAATCTGTCTTGCTAGTTAGCAGAAACCAGCAAGATATCAATTAGTCATGGCACTTACAAGGTAAAGGTAAAGGTTCCCCTCGCACATATGTGCTAGTCGTTACTGACTCTAGGGGGCAGTGTTCATCTCCGTTTCAAAGCCGAAGAACCAGCGCTGTCCGAAGACATCTCCATGGTCATATGGCCGGCATGACTAAATGCCAAAGGCGCACGGAACGCTGTTACCTTCCCACTAAAGGTGGTCCCTATTTTTCTACTTGCAATTTTTAGGTGCTTTCAAACTGCTAGGTTGGCAGAAGATGGCCCACTTATAGGAGATATCAAAACTGCACAATTTTGTGTAATAATTAAGGCGCTGGACTAAAAATGGGAACCCATGAGTTCTAGCCTCCTGTTAAGCATGAAAACCAGCTTCATGGTTTTAAGCAGTTTTCTCCAAGCTCAACTAACTTCACAGGATGGTTGTGGTGCTTACTATCATCCTTGTTTAGCTGCTGAATTACTAGTATTTTTTTATCTTTTACAAAGGACATTTGCAAAGAGTATGTAAAAGTTAGGATTCCATCATGTTCCAGGCTGAGGTCATACGAGGAATTTTTTATATATCTATCTGGGAGAAGCATTTTGACATGATATAAAACCAAGATATCTGCTGGAAAAAAAAATCTGTCAGTTCCCCTTCTCCTTCCACTTTATATTACAAATAACATATTTTAATTCAGAAAAGAGCAGTTCTGCATAATTAAGTCTACTATGCAGTATTAATTTTACCAGTATACTTCAGAGATATTGATATCAGAAGGCTTCTAGGAATATAAACAATGTGAAGGAAGGTATTCATATGAAATATATTAATATTTATTTTCCACCATGAATGGCTTCAAATGTTTGCAGTTTGCAGATCTATGCTCTTTTTATCACAGTAGAACCTATTTAATTCAAGAGGACTTCCAGACATAACTATAATTGTGACATAAAGGACAGGGAAGGGTTTCAGTAGTTAGAGAGGCTGCCATTCAAATGCCTACATTCAAAATAGAACTTGCAGAGAATTTTGTTGAAGGTGGCCGGTGTCCTGATTTGTTCCTGTTACCTATAAAACCTGATGAACTTTCACATTTTTCTGAAACTGAATCCAGTTAAGAATAGATATTATTGGGTCATCAGTCTAGCCCAACTCCCAATGATCATTTCCATCTTGGCATGGCCAGCCACTTTCCAAGTTAGTCCAGTGGTAAGCAGGTAGGCTACTTTAGGCCAAATTGGTCTTGCAGCTGATTTTATGTGGTATGTTAAGGATGGCCATGCGCGGAAAGAGACAGGGCCAGGCTGAGGTGGCTGGGTCCAGAGATAGCTTTTCTGCCTCGTGTGGTTCCCATTCATACCTCAGTCAACAGCCAATCATTCTGAGGAGAAGGTAAAAGAAACTTTTTGCAGTCTTTACCCAAAAAGAAACTATAGCCCAACCTACCAAAAACATAACTGTAAAAGACAGACTAGAAATAAAAGTTAAAATAAGCAAAAAATAGTAAGAGAACACCTGTCTGATCTTGATGAATGCAAATCACCAGGACCTGATGGATTACAGCCCAGAGTTCTAAAGGAGCTGGCAGATGTCATCTCAGAACCACTGTACCACATCTTTCAAAAATCCTGGAGCACTGGGAAACTACCAGAGCACATCAGAGCTGATGTGGTTTCCATCTTCAAAAAAGGGGGGAGAAACAGACCCAGGAAACTACAGACCAATCAACCTAACATCAGTACCTGGGAAGATACTTGAAAAGATGATAAAAAACAGACCTGCCAACTTCTAGAAACGAGTAAAGTAATAACTAGCAATCAGCATGTGTTTGTTAAAAACAGATCATGCCAAACCAATCTTATTTCATTCTTCAACATAATGACTAAATTAGTACACCAGCGAAATACTGTGGACATAATATACTTAGACTTCAGCAAAGCATTTGACAGTAGACCACAACCTAAGCTAGAAAAAAGTGGGATAGATAGCATCACCACCAGATGGATTTGTAACTGGCTGACAAACCATACTCAACGAGTAGTCCTTAATGGGTCTATGTCTACATGGAGGGAAGTAAGCAGTGGGGTACCACAAGGTTCTGTCTTAGGCCCAGTAAAATTCAATATCTTCATAAACGACTGAGATGAGGGAATAGAAGGGGAACTTACCAATTTTGCGGATGATACTAAACTGGCATGAATAGCTAACACCCTAGATCAGTGATGGCTAACCTTTTTGCCATCACGTGCCAAAAGCTGGAGGAGTGCAGGATAGTTGTGCGCGCACGTGCCCAAACCCATAATTCTATGTGCCCCGCCCCCCCCCCCGGCCATGCGCACCCCCCCCCCCCATACTCCCCCCGCTTTTGGCATGTGATTGCATCGTGGGCCCGGTAGGCCTGTTTTTTGCCCTGCCCAGGCTCCAGAGGCTTTCTAGGAGAATTTTTCTGACAATGGGAACAATCAACCAATGGAACAGCTTGTCTTCAGATGTTGTGGGAGCTTCATCATTGGAGGCTTTCAAGAAGAGATTAGACTGCCATCTGTCAGAAATGGTGTAGGGTCTCCTGCTTGGGCGGGGGTTGGACTAGATGACCTACAAGGTCCCTTCGAACTCTGTTAATCTATCTCTTAATCTATCTCTTTAAAAAAATAATCAAATGATGCGTTCTCCATTGCTTTGTTTTAATACCCATATTTCTGATGAAATAAAAAAGTAGATAAATATTATTTACTTCAATTAATGTAACATTTATACTTACTGAGAATTTACTGCTGAAAATTTCAATCCCTTTTTTTTTTGTATTTTGTTTTTCTAGAACAAATTAGTTTAGAGAAAATGTGATTTCAGCATGTTTCCCAAATTGTTCTAATCATGGAAGAGTTGGAATACATTTATTACTGACCATCTGAACATCTGCTCAGGATATTACATGAAAAAACTCAGGATATCATAACACTAGAACTCAGGATGTTAACACACAGCCCATTACCCAGGTCATTAAAACACAAAAGACTAATGGGCACACATCAAGGACCTCACCCACACAGGATGTTACGAAACATCTGAATAATCTGCAAACATCAACTCCATCAACCAATCGAGATGTAACAACACAGGCAACCAACCTGTTCACAGCAACAAAGCCAGCACCCCACACCTCCCCACCAGTATTTATAGAGAGACAGCAGCTCCAATCACGCTTTCCTTGCACAAGCATCAAGCCGAAGACACCAGCCTGAAGATGATGAGCGGGACCTCATCGAAACATCACCAAGATACTCTCAATCTTACCCAGGAAAAGACCCGAAGACACCAAAACTAAAAAAATAAAGGGAACACAAGCAGAAGACATCCAAGATCTGAATGAATGAAATAGCCTCATTAAATACTTTGTTCTTTACATACAGTAGTTTATACACTGCTCAAACACCTAAAGGGAACACAAAACTAGAGTCCTCCTGTTTCCCTTGTTGCACTACTAAGAGTCTTTCTCCAAACACCTGTGTTATGAGATATTCTCCCGTGGTGTGAAGGTTTCTGTTGTGCAGCCTGCAATTTTCATTGCCAGCACCAATTTATACAGTCCTGAGTACTTTAAGGTCATTGCCACTAAGATGTAGGAGGGGAAATGCCAAAATTGTATATTCTGCTTAGGAGGATGGAAAGATACTGGACGAAAAGATCGCAAGATGGCTTCTCCAACATTCCTCCTGTGATTGACAGCATAAATCATTCTCTGACCTCTGCTTCATCCTTCACCAAATATCATCTGATTACTGGTAGCTGCAAATGCAAGTTATGACTCACTTGTCTGGTACTATTTCAGATAATCTCAACATCTATTGAGGAGACATCACGTTATAACTGCTGAGGAAAATTCATTTTAACTATTATCTGGTGCAGATATCACAATGTTGCATTTAGTCCAACCTGTTGCTAATTACCAGTAGTTAATTATTTGAGCATAACTTGATATATTCTGATTTTCTACATATGTTGAGTACTTCAGAGGTGTAGCTCAGCACTACTGTGATAATTTCCTTCTCCTATCCATCTCAGCTGTTAATGCAAAACCTTAATTGCATTAAAAATTGTTTTGAATTAGAATGTCAAAAAAATGCACTTGTTTTGAAAATTGTCTCCTAGGAAATAAGATGTCCTGAGGTAGTGTCTTGCACTTGCAAATGAGATAAGGCATCCCAAAGATTCTGCCCCAAATCGGTCCCCTCCCCCTTTAATTGGTCATATTGCATGTTTCTGCAGAAAACATTGCATCAAGACCCCAAAAATCATCTTGTCTCTCTCCATCATCTGTATCTTCTTTCCATCTTCCAGGTTCCTCAATCTCATTCACCTTCCTTATATCTTGCTTTACACATGCTTTATCATCCATTTGTTATACAACTTTGGGATACCAATTACTTCAATAGCACCATTTTCATTTTAAATAGCATCACACCAGAGAAAATAGATTTGTCTCTCAGAAGAAGTGTTTGTATTTCTTTGGACATATTTAAACAATTCTTTCTATGGGGTTCTAACCCTTCAGTAAGAATTGAATTCATGGACCATTGCACTCCAGATGACTATATACAGTGCATTTGATTTAGGAGCTCTCCAGGCCCAGCTGCTTAACAGTGTTGCTGAAAAGGATATATAGAATTTACTGGACATATAGTCCACCTTCCATTAAATTTTCAGAGCAGAGATATAGCTATATCATAATGTCATATCCCCATGTGTTTGGGAATAGCAGTATAAATTGAAATTGGCCATATGTTGCCTCCTGGTGGTCAATAAAAATAAAGATACACATGATATATATACAATGTAAAGATAGAGAAGTTGCTCCCACCCATACTCCGGGGGGGGGGGGAGCATGTAAAACCTTCTATCTGGAGAGATGACATAATGTAATATCTGTATCTCTTTCCTCTAGGATTAAGAGAAGGTAGGCAGTATACCCCATTCTGAGATGTTTACACTAGGTAAATATTATACTACATTGTTTTCAAGATGCTCACAACTCAGTTACTTGATGGTTTGCTACAGATTCTTTCCAAATATTGATGTCAAATGAACAGATTGTAGTTTCCTAAAGCTTTTCTCCTTTTTGAAGAAAAGGTCAATATTTGCTCTTCTTCGGTTATCTAGCACTTATTCACTCCTGTAAATATGTATTCCTTGACCATGTTTCTATGTATTTCAGTGATGGCGAACTATTTGGGCTCACCATGTCAAAAATAACTTGACTTTGCTGGTGTACCACCACCATTACCCTCCCAAACAAAATAGGAACAATTATTTACATGTTCATTTATTATTTTACAAAATACAGTCCAATCATGTGTGTTTGTTTGTTTGTTTTGTTTTTATTAAATTTATATACCGCCCTACTCCCGAAGGACTCAGGGCGGTGAACAGGCACAAAATAAAATACACAGATACAAAAGTTAGAAACATAATTAAAACCAGATTAAATAATTTAGCCTGAGACAATTAAAAATCCCAATAATTTAAAATGTTATGTGATGCCATATAATATATAAAGAAACATCAAATCATTTCAAACATGAAACATGGATAAAACTCATTTTCGGAGAGTCCAGATGTTATGCAAAAGCATACCCCATTCTTGCACAGGCTCCAAAAATCATGCAAAAACAGGGTGTGCTTTTAAGAATAGCTGTCATCAGGTGCTTGGTGTGTCACACCAAATATTGCGGCATGTCATCTTTGACACACATCATAGGTTCACCACCGTGGATCTATTCAGGATTTCATCTTTCTCACGACCATGTTGTCATGGTTCCAAGTAATGCTCCCAACCAATTCAAGACTCTGAGTCCTTTGCTTCCTCAATAATCCTGTTTATTGGGTACATCATATCGGCACGGTCAGGTGTAAAACCAACACTGAGTAATTCCCTTGTTTTTGGTATAATTAAATAATAGTTACTGTCCTCCCCACCCTTGTATCACAGGTCACGATAGCCAACCAAGCAGGTGATGAACTTCTCAGCACTCCCTTCTGCCGTTGCCAGGGCACACTGATTTGGCCTTGGTTCTCAGGAGCCTTATCATTGTTATGTCTGGCATATTGGAGGAAAACATTCTACATTCCATAAGTCCCCCTCCACCCACCCAAGTATGGCAACTAAGAAACAAAGCAAGAAATATATGGCTTCAGCTAGAGTCATTTAGAGAGTTGACACATATCCCAGGATAATGTTGCAGCATCCAATCTGGGTCGGTCACAGGACCAGAGGTTTAGAGATTTTGTCATCTTTCATCTTTCGCCTTAATTCTGGTCTTCTTGTTGGGACAGATTATTTTTGTTGGAGATACTAAAATAGGAACTTAGTACCTCAATCTTTACTTTCCAACTTGTTGACATTGTGTCATCTTCATTGAGCAGCTGGGACATAAAATTCTTTTTCTTTTATTTTGAACTTAGAAGCTTTTATATATATATATCTTAGCATCTTTTGCAAACTTCAGATTATTTTGAGCTTTAGCTTCTCAGACACTTTTTTTTTTAATATAATTCTGGATTAACTGTACTCTTGGAGATCTCTCATCTTGCCTCCTCTTAAATGTGTCAATTTTGTTTTTTGTTTTTTTTATTTTCATTAAGCTTTTTCTATAGCCATGGTAAATTCTTTTGCTATGCTCCATTTTTATTTCTCAATGGAATTGTTTGCAATTGGGCTTTTAGCATTTTCCTTTTCAAGAACTCCCACTATCGTGAACTCTTTCTCTCATTAGTTTCTTCTGCAATAAAACCCTTCTGTAACTTTATTTAAAGTTAAAAGTGAGAGTTAATATATTGTTGTTTTAGATCAGGAATAAACTGCTGTTCCCTGGGTTTCTGCTTGTTTTTGTTCCAAAGAATGCATACAGCAAAGTCTAGTATGTCAGGAGCTACAACTATAAAATTGTAAAATTGGGATGGCTTCTTTCACACAAACCCATATAGAAATGTTCCTCCCATCTACTCTTGACATCCACTGTTCTATAGATTCCACCCAATAAAGGCATTTATACCTCCACTTTTTCCATGGATAACCTGTCTTTTTTTTTTTTGCTTTGAAACATCTCCTCCCCATGTAAGCTATTGTAATTTATCCACAAATCTGAAAAAGGTTCACTACACTTTCTCCTCCAAAAATAAGGTGAATGTTTATTTTTCATTGAATCCCATTGTATGAAGCAGAGGCAAAAAATGAAGAACCCCCCCCCCAGAAAAACTATGCAAATGAAGACAATACATTAGGGGTGGTCAACAGTTTTAAACAGATGTTCAGAGTGCATAGAAGCACAAATATAGAACCCATCTGCATCTCTTTAAAGCAACTGAGTACCCATTCCTAAGAAAAAGACATGGCTGCTTTAAAGAATTTAAAACATCTTTTCAGAATTGGTACACAAATCACCAGCCTTTGATGAAGTTCCAGAACTGTATTTTACAATGTAATAAATCGCTGAAGTATCTGGGGTAACACTGGACAGGTCACTAAACTGTCAACAACATCTGGGGGGGGAAACAGTTGCAAAAGTGAAAAGCTGCAACAATTTACTAAACAGACTGGCTGGAACATCCTGGGGTGCTGATGCAAACACTCTACGAACAATGGCTTTGGTATATTCCACAGGGGGATATTGTGCCAGCCCGTGGCTCAAAGCACCCACACCCAAATGATCGATGACCAACTCTACCAGACAATGTGTATCATCTCTGGCACATTACTTCCCATTCCTGATTATCAGTACTTAACAATATCATACTGTCCCACATTAGAAGACAACAAGCTCTCATTCGGCTGTGGTCAAGGATGCTGAACAACAAGGCCCTTCCAGGACAATGCATAGTTCATCACAAGATTGAAATCCCATAGGCCAACATGGAAAACAGTTGTTTACTTAACATCTACCCAGTTTAACCCCAAGAATGCCTGGAGAGAAGAATAGTCCAAGGTACTTTCTTGTGGCTTGACCATTAGTGATCCCTCTACCAAGCCACCTGGGTTTGGCCTGTCTTGCTATGTCTAGATGAAACTGGACAGTTAGGTGTGATACTGGAAGAAGCGCCTCTGCCCTGTATCAGTGGGGATGGAAAGTTTCTACTTGTTGAGATTGTGGTGCTGATATACAAACTATTAAACATATTGTGCAAGATTGCTCACGACATGCATTTTCTGGTTCCCTAGAAGTTCTGCACAAAGCAACGCCAGAGGCGATTGTCTGGATAGCAGATTTAGACATTCAGTTATGAGGCCACTGACATACACCCCTAGATGTTTTGTATATAATTACATGGATTGTGTGTATAAGTTTACTTCTGTCATGTTCTCATCATATGCTAAATGATAAGAATTGAATCTAAAGTATTGTACAGCCCTATAATAGTGGCATTACATAAATATTGATCAGATACACCGGGACTGTTACCAAACAAATACTAGTTTTCTCCTCACCTACCCACATAATCACCAACTACTACCTACTTACTGCAAACATTAATGTTTTTTTTCAACCTAAAACAGATGTTCCCTAGTATCTTGAGAAGGATGGAAATCTATATTTTGCTTTTCCCCTGCCCCCCTTTCTTAATTTCTGTTTCCTTGTATTTTATCTTCCATTGAGATTTAATAAAATCTTATTTTAAAAAGATCCAGCATCTAACCAAAAATATTTTGCACCTGTACCAAAAGACAGCCCATCAAGGTCCATATATAGAAGCTAACAAGAATCCTATTTCATTCATTCTGGCAGTAATCCAGGGTAAATGGCAGCACATTGTTCTATTTTTCTGTATCTTGTTACCAATTTTTCAATAATCTAAACTTTCTGTTTTGCTTTGTTGTACTTTGTTGCCTAACTTTTCTTTTTCCTCACTACAATTGGAAGAACTCAATTCATTTTTCTCACTTTTTTGCTAAATGTAACATTGAGATGATGAATGACTCTTGCCATTCATTATCTTTTATTATTTCCCTGAAATCTGGGGGGGAAATGATTCTACTTTATTTATTTCATACAACTTGCAACTGGCAACTTGGTTAAAAACTCTCTTGTATTTTTACTACTGAAGAGCCTCTATTTGCTCTACAAAATAAAGCAGATCTACAATAGAGTGTTATACTGCCTACAGATGGGATAAAAACCTGCAATAAATAAACAGATGTTAGTGTCTTTAGTTTAGCTCTTGAAAAATACTTTTTTGGATATATTGTATTATCCTGAATATTTTGAAATGTTACATGGGGAACTGGAGAAGGCAAATGGGAAGAGCTAGAAAGAAAGCAGACTTGCAACTAGGGCACTGATGGTGGGCTTTTGACTTGACGACAGCTGCAAAAGGCTGCCTCTTAAATCTTAATTTTGCTATTGCATTGAGGGAGATGGAGCAGGAAATCAGATCAGGCAGCAGAAGTATAGGTGTATAGAAGTATAGAAGTATAGGTGTTATCCAGTGGTGGATTTCAAACATTTTTACTACTGGTTCTATGGGCGTGGCTTGATGGGCGTGCCATAGCTGGGGGGCGTGGCTTGGTGGGTGTGGCAAGGGAACGATACTGTAAAATCCCCATTTTCTCCCGATCAGCTGGGAGGCAGAGAATAGATGGGGGCATGGCCAGTCAGAATTTTTACTACCGGTTCTCCGAACTACTCAAAATTTCTGCTACTGGTTTTCCAGAACTGTTCAGAACCTGCTGAAACCCACCTCTGGTGTTATTGTTAATCAGATCAGGCAGTAGAAGTATAGGTGTTATTCCCCTTCTGTGGGGAAGAAAAGGATTTTCTTTCAGACAAAAGAAGGGAAGGGTTTGGTAAGAAATTTATTTATTATCAATATTTATATCCCTCTTCATGTGTTAAAAAAATTAAGACACTTCATAATCATAATTAAACGCGCCCTTAGTTCACACAGAGAGCTAGGAAAAGCAAAGTTAGTTTATAAAATGGATATTCAGAATGAAAACTAATTGGAGAAATCCAGAAGGTTCTTTATAATTTGACAAAATTGTTTGAATGGAAGTTAATGAGATGTAGGAAGGAAATTCATATATTATTAGGAATTATTAGGAGGAAATTATGTGGTGCTGGCATCACCTGTCATACTTGGTAGCCTGGTACAACTGACTTGCACACTCTCGTTTGCCTTCTGTAACTGATATTGCAGTGATAAATAAAAGCAGAGTCATAGTCTGGTGTTTCGTTCTCTGTCTTTTCTACTGGTATTATAGTCTACAGTGAAAAAAAAAAACCTTGCTTGTCACATCTAATTCATCATTGAGTTTCCAATAGTAGCCAGGCCTGTTACACTAGGGAAATTGCAAGTGAATGTGAAGTCAATATATTCTCCTGCTGTTTTCATCTTTGTTCCTATTTCAGATGCCGCTTGCAACTGAACATGGAAATTCCATTTTGTCATTATGCCTGAAAAGAGTGCTTTCTATGGGTGGAACTAGAATGAAGAAGATAGAAAGAAATTTGGGTAAGGAAATAAAGATCAGAGTGAGGAAGTTTCATGACAAGCAGGATGTATAACATGCCCACCCTGAAAAGACTCTTGCTACCCCAATCGTTTCTCAGCCCCTTACCCACATTTCAAATGGGAACCATAGACATCTTCAAGATGGCCTAGTTGTCAGGATGAATATGACAAGAACTGGAAATCATACTGTCCGCTTAACACTTAAACAGCAATAGCACATAGACTTATATACCACTCCATAGCGCTCTACGGCACTCTCTGAGTGGTTTACAATGTCAGCATATGCCCCCCCCAACAATCTGGATCCTCATTTTACCGACTTCAGAAGGATGGAAGGCTGAGTCAACTTTGAGCCGGTCAGGATCGAACTCCAGACTGTGGGGCAGAGTTAGCCTGTAATACTGCATTCTAACCATTGCACCACATGGCTCCTTATTGCTTAAACCAAAAGCAGAAGAGATGGTCAAATATACTTGCAGTGGCTCATAAGAAAACTTTTTAAGAATACAAAATAAAAGCACCCTCCTCTCTCTCTGTTCCCAGCCAGTTGAAACATGCTCTTGTTTTTGTATTTACTTGATAAGCCTTGTATGGGACTATACTACATGTATCTAAGGAAGTTAACTGAATAAGGTAAAAGGAACAATAAAATAAAAACTGAGTTCCTTGGCAAAGCTTTTGGGAAGATTACTTGTACCAATGTTATTATCACTAAATATTCTAGAAATTGCTAACTCAAGATTACAAATTAGAAAATTTTCTAAACTGACCTCACTGTCATATATGTGTGTTAATCCAATTGTATTTTAATAAAAACAAAGCATCTCCATAGTCCGAGATAAATGGCTTTGTCACTGTTAATTTTTAACTCCTCCACTGAATACAAACTCTACAAATTTTCTATAGCTTTTCCTTCCCATTACCATATAGACAGTCCACGCTGCCAAAAAAAAGAAAAATCACTCAAGAGCCTCATTTGGAAAAAATAATAATAATTAAAAAGCTCTGCAGAGATACATTTGTGAAGGGTAGTTGCCCAGGTGAATCCCAACAGGTGAGTGTGCTGCATCAGCTGAGCTGCAAGTTGCATATTAAAATCTCTTTGCATCTTTTACATCCCATCGGTTCGGATAAACCAGTGTGGGGGAAAAAAGATACAGCCTGTTTTCGGATGCTGTCTAGCCTCCTTTTTTAAAAAAAGCTGTTTATAATACTGTGCAGGTTGTGGGAGAGTTGGTGAAAATGGGGCCTCGGGATCCTGAAAGCTACATCTGCGCGGCTCCTAAACCCATAATAATCCGCAGAGCCCAATACATTAAAAAGAGGGGACGAGACAGGAGAAAAGAAACTGTAGAGATGGTTCCTAGACGCAGACGACCGGTGCAGTCTAAAGCAGATAGTCCTCTGAACTATTTTTGAATTCTCTTCCGATAGAAGCCTTGGTAGCACAGTGGTCTAAAGCACCCTGTTATTAACACCAGCTGCCTGCGATTACTGCAGGTTCGAATCTTACCAGGCTCAAGGTTGACTCAGCCTTCCATCCTTTCTAAGGTAGGTTAAATGAGGACCCAGTTTGTGGGGGCAATAAGCTGACTTTGTATAAATATACAAAAGTATGAAGGCTATTGCTTAACGCATTGTAAGCCGCCCTGAGTCTCCGGAGAAGGGTGGCATATAAATCAAATTTAAAAAAAAAAATGCCAGGCTTCCTTCGGCACAGCCGGTTTCCTACAGTATCCGCGCTTAGCCCCGCTTCCAGGGAAAGGAGGAAGCAGCAGCCGATGCATTCTAGGGATACATCTCCATTCCCATCCGCTCAATTCAATCAAACTGGGGTGGTTGTGGTGGGGGAAGGCAGCCACGCGATCGTCCTTCTCTGCCCCCCTCCCCGCCCCCGCCATAGGCAAGACTGCCGCAGTAAGCCGCTTGCTTCCACCCAAATGAAAAGAAGCCGCTTCCTTCCACCCGGCAAAACCCAAATAAAAGCCCCAAAGGCCGGCGGCGGCGGCGGCGGCGGCGTGAGAGACCCCTCAGCCGCGCGAAGGTGACCTTGCAAGAATCCGCGACCCGCACTCACTGCACGCCCATCTTCCCCCTCCGCTGCCGCACCCGTCCTCCTCCTCCCGGAGACCTGCCAGCGCTCACCTGGTAGCGGAGGAGGCAGTCGGGCTCGTTACTCTCGGCAGGCATGGCTGGCTGGCTGGCTGGCTGGTTGGCTAGTTGGTTGGCTGGCTGGCGCCGGGCGAGCAGGTGGCTCCGCCGGGCGAGCAGGTGGCTCCGTTCGGCCGGCAATTTCTCCACTCGGACCCTCTGAGAAGCGGCGGAGGAGCGACGGCCAACCGCTGGAGTCACGGGCGCCCGCAGCCCGCCGCGCTCTTCGGCTCCATCTCTCCTCCGACCCCGGCGAGCAACCAATCCCGGCCCAGAGGCGTCAGGCTCCCGGGATGGAGAGGCTGGAGGCGTGGATGGAAAGAGCCCGGGTGGATGCTGCGAGGGGCGGAGGGCGAGGAGAGGGCTGCGAATGACGAGGGGACGCGGGAGAGTCAAGGGAAAAAAAAAAAAACCTACAGCATTGCTATGGGTGGGTGGGTCGGTGGGGGGGGAGGGAGGGAGGCGCCAAAGAGGGAGGGGCGCAAGGTAAGGCGAGGAGAGCGGGGGAGGGGCGAACGGCATGAAGCAAAGGAGGGGGGAATATGGAGGGTGGGAGCCAGCTGAGAGGAGGAGGGTTGGGTGAGGTGAGGTGAGGTGAGGGAGCGCTGGATAGAGGCGGGAAAGGAGCTGGAGAAGGCTGGCCTTGGCCCTCAGGTGCCAGAGTGGACAGAAGATGAAGCAGAATTAGGAAGAAAGGGGTGAGGACTAAAGAAAGTCCTAAATTTTGTATTTCGGAAGACAGGCGTCCCTGTATATACCCACCCCCAGCATGACATACAGAACCTGGTCTGAGGGAACACGGAAATGAGGGAAGCATAAAAATCAGGGGTGAAATCCAGCAGGTTCTAACAGGTTCTGGAGAACCAGTAGTGGAAATTTTGAGTAGTTCGGAGAACTGGCAAATACCATCTCTGACTGGCCCCAGAGTGGGGTGGGAATGGGGATTTTGAAGTATCCCTCCCCTGGAGTGGGGTGGGAATGGGGATTTTGCAGTATCCTTCCCCTGCCACGCCTGCCAAGCCATACCACAACCACCAAACCACTAGTAAAAAAAATTGAATTTCACCACTGATAAAAATGAATTGATTGCTTTTTCCAAAACGTCTTATCTCTACCAAATCTAACTTTCCTCATTTCCCATTCTTTCTGTACTTCTTTCCTCTTTCCACTCTTCTCAGTCTCTTGCATCAACTTCCATCTGTCTTTCTTGTAACTCTTGCAGGTGATTTCAAAAACAGCACAAAATAGTGGCTGCTTGATCAAAACGTCCCATAAACTAGATCCTTTCCTCACTAATACCGTTAAATTAGTAACAATATTTTACTGGCTCTTGCCCTCCGTGCTCCCAGTCTTTCTATCCTGCTAACATCTTTGCCCTCCCCCCCCAAAAAAAAACCTGTTTGGCAAAATCGAAGGAGATAACCTGAATTATATTCTCAGCATTTCCAAACAGCATGTTTCAATGCACTATCTATATGGTCATTTTAATTAAATATGCACATATTCTCAGAACACAGCGAAAAACATTCATATTCCTTTCTTGTAGCAGTTATTGTTTTATCATATAATTTTAGTTTCCTATTTTCAATTTTGAACACAACAAAAGAAGAACATACAAAAGATACAATTCCCCTGATTTATCTGAGGAGCTGAAGTAAAAGGAATTTAAAGTCAAGGAACTGGGTTTTGTAAAAGTGAAGATAAAATCACTTGAATGTCACCAAGTATTCTTTGGAATCAAGTAATCTTGTTCTCTTTTGAAAGGATGTTTTTTTAAAAAAATTCTAAATGGCTCTTGCAAGTGGAATTAATTGATAGAATGGATTCAGCTTCCATAAACGTTTTTAGGGAATGTCACTAAATGCTCAAAGAGAAATTAGTTTTGAATGGTCATGGAAATGCTCTGAGATGAAGTCTGGAGATACTCCATTCATTGCTTTGTAGGAAATAGGCAGTCACTAGGTGATACAGGAGAGCCCAGCTGAGCCACGCGATCATCAAAGGCTTTTTTTTTTTACTTTTAAAAGCATTTTTTCTACAAATGCTTTTAAAAGGTTCTCTCTCTCCATGACCAGCATTTGCCTTCTAATGGACAAAATCTTCATTGGCCTTTTTAGCATGTTATGAGTAAAACACTTTTGGTTTTTTTACTTCTTATAAACAATATTTATTTTTATTTTGGACTGTAAGAAATATTATTTTGGACAGTAAAATAGTGGAGTGATATGAGTTAATGCAATCTGGACAGTTAGATTTCAGATCCATATTTTCATGAGCTCAGAATTGCTAATAATGATGTGCTAATGGAAAGAGATACATGTTTGCCACTTGAGAATACTATGGCAAAATAAAGCAGTGGCGCAGAATAGCAAATCATGCCAGGTTTTTTGAGTACAAATGTTCAATAGCAATACAACTGCTCAGCACAATCTCTCGATCCTGCTGTCACTCACAGTGATGCTTGGAACATGGGCAGAAGTCAAAGAGAAACACTTTTTGAAATCAAGCATACAGATAGTCCTAAATTACAATTGTTTGTTTAACAACATTTCAAAGTTATGACAACACTGGGAAAATTGACTTACAACCCATTATCGGAGTTTTGGGTGCTTGGCAACTGGTTGGAATTAACACAGTTGCAGTGTCCTGGGGTAACATGATCGTGGTTTGCGACCTTCCCAGCCAACCTCTGACAAGCAAAGGGAAAAACTGAATTTATTTAATGACCACATCATTCACTTAACAATTATGGTGAAAATGGTCATAAAATCAGGCCCAGTGATGTGATTAGTCACTTAATGGCTGCATCATTAGCAACCAAAATTCTGGTCTCAATTTTGGTCATAAGTTGAGGACTATACCTGTATAGTTTTGAAAGTGATGATTCATGACTTTAAATTCAGATAATACCATCTACAAACAATAACTGTAACTCCAACCTGGAATCAGGTTGTTTGGGAGGTTATATTTATTCTTAATAGATTGTCAAGGCTCTGAAAGAGCCTTGGTAGTACAGTGGTCTAAGGCACCCTGTTATTAAGCTGGTTATTAAGACCAGCTGCCTGCAATTACTGCAGGTTCGAATCTCGCCAAGGCTCAAGGTTGACTCAGCCTTCCATCCTTTCTAAGGTAGGTAAATTGAGGACCCCGTTGTGGGGGCAATAAGCTGACTTTGTATAAATATACAAAAGGATGAAGGCTATTGCTGAGCACATTGTAAGCCGCCCTGAGTCTCCGGAGAAGGGCGGCATATAAATCAAATTTTTTTTAAAAAGTGCTTAAAACTGTTATTAGACATCTCTTTATCAATCTTGCCATCTCTGTAGGATATGAAACACTCTTCCAAAAGTCACTCCAAGGTTTGGAGCACTCTCATAAGAGATCAGGCGATCGCAGTCATTCTTCTCATAAACAAAATATTGTTTATGCTTTCTAATGGATTAGGTAGCTGCCTCCTTGGGCTTTAAATTGGCTTGCTCCATTTTATTTATGTGTTTCTAAATATTATGCCCTAAGCAGAGGTGGGATTCACTTACCTTCCCTACCAGTTCACAAATGTGAGCATGCCCACCTCTGCGCATGCGCATGGCCTCCTGCACGTGCGCAGTAGTAGCGCATTACGTCCAAGCGGGCGGGCAGAGCCTCCTGCAGTTGCCGCTACCAGTTTGCGCGATCCAGAGAAAACCGGCTGAATCCCACCACTGGCCCTAAGCTTTAAACTGTGTTTTTCTATAATTTAATGTTTTATTTAGGAGTTTGATGGTTTTATTGTTGTTTGCATTTTATTCCTTCTTTCCTCGTTCCTTTTAACCACCTTTGGTGCTATTCTTTAGTATAAATTAAATGAATCAGAAATGAAACTGAGCGTGTGAAAAATTGTTTAAAAGAGCTATATGAGAATCCCTAGGAACCAGGGTGGATTTGATTTAAATCGAATTGATTTAAATCACAATTTAAATCATGATTTAAATCACTAGTAAAAAGGCTTGATTTAAATCAACTCAATTTAAATCATAATTGTTAAAGAGCAACTGTCATCTCTGCTACTCCTTTGACCCACTGTTGACTCACCGATAGTCCCAGGGTTGCAGAATATACAGCCTCGTGCTACATAACTAAGCTCCATTTCATGCTGAATAAACTAAATTATTTATGTATCTTAAATAGAAAACTATCTTACGATAGATTTTTACCTCAAAAGTTTTTTATTAAAATAAATTCGATAAAAATAAAAAAAATCCGATTTAAATCAAAAAAATCTGATTTTTTTTGATTTTTTTAAAAAAATCGTTGATTTTTATCCACCCTGCTAGGAACTACATGCAAAGTGTTTGACTGAGTTCTTTTGGAGAAGATATACAAATGAAGCAGTCAAAACATATCATGGATTGTCTTACTTCACAGACTAACAATGTCATGTCGAGCTTGCCTGTTAAAAATATCTGGATGCTGATAGACAGATACGTCAGAATTCTATGCAGGCTAAAGTGCACACCTACTTTGTCACTATTCTCAGTCTTTTAGTATATATAGCTATGAGCCAATCACATCACTATAGTTGCATGTACAAAACATTCCCAGTGACGAGCATAGCTGCCAGCCTACTGATCCTCTGTGTCATTCCTTCTGTTTTGGTTTCAATCAATAGATACAGCAGGGTGTTTGTGCTCTTCAGTAGGAAAGTGAAGGTCAAGAAATACATATGAAGCTTCCCCCCAAAAAAAGATGTGCAGTAGGATTCAAAACAGGGGTAGTATTCACTTACCTTCACTACCGGTTCACAAATGTGAGCGCACACGCCACCTCCACCTCTGGACGCACAGAGCATCAAAAACAGGATGTGATGACGTCCGAGCAAGTGGGCGGAACCTCCTGCAGCTACCGCTACCGGCTGAATATCACCATTGGTTCAAAAAGCTTACTCCCAGCAAACTGCAGAGCAGCCACAGCTTTTTGGCTGCTTGAAATAAGCCACCGCTGAACTTTAGGCAGCTCGTGGTAAAGCTGGCAAGTCGATCATGAACAGATGCAATTTCCCCCTACATGTAGTAGAACTTGTAGAATTTTGACAAACCATGAAGTAGCCCTTCTGCTATGTTAACCTCCCTCAACAGCACTGAACTGATGGAACTTGAATTGGAGAAAGATGGAAGTAGAAGCAGGGAGGATTCTGGAACTGTCAGTATTTAAGAAGAATTAAGGAAAAAGGAGAGGTTTCTTTAAAATAATAATAATAATAATGAAAAACATGACAGAAGCAAGAAGAGAAGTTTACCTTTCTTCCATGCTAGAGATGACAGGGGGAAGCAAAATCTGTTCTTATCATTGTGATTAGGCATCTGGTGTCCAGTGCACTTTACAATAAGCCACCTCTTCTTCTAATATATACCCTAGCCT